CGAGGCCCAAAGCCCGCGGCATAACTTCCCTTCGCGGGCCCCTGGGGGCACAATGATCAGGCCTTCTCCTATCATCGTGCCTTCTGGTATCCTTGTCTCCTGAATGAATGACCGCGCATCAATAGTCTGGGGATGCTATTTGGACTGCGCAGAACCCCCCCTTCCTGAATGGTTGAGCCGCTTAGCCGCGCGGCCTGGCTGTCCGTTCAGTGCCGGAAATTGACTGTGCGACGTGGCGTTGAAGTCGATGCCGATGGTGGCCTGCGCGCGCTCCGCATTCAGGCTCTAGCCACATGGTACTTCGTCGCGCTCGAGGTCGCGATGGCGATGCGCTAGCTTCCTGACATCCTGGGCAAGGGGCGGGTGAGCGGCAAGCATCTGAGGCGCGGCGGGAACTGCCCATCTCCAACTGGGTGCCGGTGTGCGACGTAGTTTCCAGGATCAGGGGGCCCAGGTAGGGCCCTGTCACTGCTGTCTCTAAGTCGGCTCGGCTGTCGGCGAGCTCTCTCCGAAGATTTTTAATCAGTCTGTAAAAGACCGGCGATGCGTCGGGCCCCCCAGCTCGGCGTTGCTGCTTGCTGCGAAGGCTCAGCTTGCTACCCCGACTGGCGATGAAGAGGTGTGGCGCGATCGCAGAGGCGGGTAGTCCTGTTCGCGTCGGCGCAGCTGATGCGCGCAGTGCCCAGGGCTCGCAGTGGCGAGCGGCTGAGGGGGCCCCGATGTGCCACTGAGGTACCAGATGGGAGTGGATCCGGCAAGGTGGACGGATCGGCGTTGGCGGCAGAGGCGTTCGAGATGCATCCCGTCGAAATTGCAAGAAGAACACTGGATTCTCCTGCCCGATGGCGACCGCTGCAGATGCCGTTGAGCTCTGCTGCACTTCAAAGAGCAACATGTGCGCAATTGAACGCGCCGTGGCCTGCAGCGCAACGGCCGCGAAACATCAGCTGCGAACTGAGCGGCAGGATGCGCATTGACCTGGCTGACGCCAGATCGCGGAGAGAGGTGCTGGGGAAGGCTGAGAGTAGCTCTGACAGGAGGCAAGCGAACCTACCTCGCTTTTGACCACCCTTGCTTCCAAAGGCTACCGAGCGATGCCAAACTGCGGCCCGCACTGGACAGGCCGCCCGACGGGGGCGCGCGGCGTGGCTTGGTTGTTCCTGGAAGCGAAAGCGGGGAAGGGAATTCGCGCTCTGATCTGAGGACTCGCGTCGCGCCCCCGGCGCGCAAGTCCGCGGGCAACGCGCCCTTTGCGTCGCCGGAAACCAAAACGCCGACAAAGTCAAGCTGCGCCCGCGCGCGGGGCCAGCGGTAAGCGCGGCCAGCTGCCCGGCGACGGCGCGGCGACGCGAACCTGGTCAGCGCTGCCGTTCTGACGCCGTGAAACTCGCGGGGGGGGGGGGGGGGGGGGGGGGGGGGCAGCCCCGCGCGATATCCCAACGCAGATCTAGACATCTGCTGATGCCGTCGATGGCGCACGTGGTCATGATGCTCGCAGTCGCCCCGCTGGCCGCCATGGTTGCCCACTCGGTGGCCGCGATGGTCGGGGCATCATCTGTTGATAATTTTGATGTACTGCCTGCGCTGAAACAATGTGTTGTTGGTCGCTGTGACATGCGCACCCCGCCCCATCGTGCGCCGAGAGATCCCCCTGCACTTGCCAGGTGGGGCCGAGGGGCCCCCTCGGCACATAGCATCCTGAAGAAGCCAGATGTCCGACTGTCGGACGTCGTGTAGCGGATCCTGCTTAGGCGGGGATATGCCTGAGGGACTCGATGGCCACAGCGCTCGAAGCTTGCGAAGACGGGGCGAACACCAACAAAACAAAATCCGCTGCTGGTGCCCGTGGGAGCGGGGCGAGGTGTCCAGGTGGCTCTTCTTCTAGTTGTTGCACGGGCTTTGTCGGGGCTTGCTGCAACAGCAACGCCATGATCAGCTGCAGTGTCTCCGATGTGCCCCCAAAAGAACGTGGGCGATACATCCTGCAACATGAGTGGCTAGCTGCGTAATGGGCGATGCCGCTCCCGTCCCAAAATTCTTTTTGGTCCAGGCCGTCGCCAATACCTGTGGGTTCGTTCGGCCTGGTGCTCGCTGCACATTGCCAATCGCGTCCGTCGCTGTCGAAGAAATGCAGCCTGGCACCCAATGTGCTGGCTGCGGTGCGATCTGCTGAGGCGCATGGACAAGAGCAGGTACTGGTGCAGGTACTAGAGCTGGCATTGGGGCAAGGACTGCAAGCGCGCGGGCGACCTGCGTGAGCTGCTGCTGGCTCTGCTGCTGGATGCTGGCGAATACGGGTTGCTGTGCGCGAAAAAGTCGATCATCTAATTGAACATGAGGTTCCGGTTTCTCTGGATCCGTTGCATGGCTTGGACTTTACCGTGGGCAACTTAGAGAGAAAGGTGGGGCAGACGAGGGCGATTGAGGCTCTTCAGCGGCTGACGGCCTTCCTCCGATCGGGATGGGCACCGCTGTCATGTCGACGTCCCTGTCCACCTCGCTGTCCTGATACAGCTGCATGCCTGCACGTCGCGGAGATCCAGTTCTCTTATCCTCTTGGATTATTATGTGGTTCAGGCTGCCTTCTGTTCGATGTGCAATCTGGAAATACTGACTTGCTCGTCCAGGGACTATACCTGTGTGATCATGAATTTGTCGGCTGCGATATCTTGGGCAACGTCTACGGCCTCCGTACCAGCCGATTGTTTCGAGGAGGGTTGCTGGATATGCTACCATGTTCTTAGTCGCCGTACGGGAAAAGAAGCACTGCAAGTCGACTGCGTCGGACGAGTTGCTGTACTGATGCGCATCTGCAGCGTCTGAGTCGCAGGGCATATCCTGGCGGAGAGTATTCCTAGTTCTGACTGCTGGGTGAGTGGGGATTGGGCAGTCTCGGGTTTGATATTCTTCCTCCCTCTTGTTTGGCCGCTCTGGCTCGGAGGTTCGGCCCCCCAAACTGCAAACACACGAGCATGCCCATCTTCTGTTGGTGAATCACTTGTTGTATCTGCTGCGCTTCCTCGATCCGTTCATGCCGACTCGTAGTGCAGTGCTGACTGATGGCGCTCCATGCTTGAACTTGCCCCGTGCGATGTGAAAAGAAGTCCTGCTTGTGCGCGCCTTCCTCGGCGACGTCTGTGCCAGGCCTGCTTTGGGCAAGGCCTCTTTCCTGCCGTGGTTGCAGGAAGGGGAAGCCCCGCCCGCCGCGGAGCTGCCCCGCCCGAGGAGCACCCCGCCCGCCGGGGCGCCCGACAAGCGCCCCGCCGGGCGCCCCGCCGAGCGCCCCAAGAGGGCCCCGCCGAGCGCCCGCCAGGAGCGCCCCGAGGAGCCCGCCGAGCGCCCCGAGGAGCCCGCCGAGCGCCCCGAGGGCCCCGCCGAGGGCAATACCGCCGACGCCACCCAAGCACGCCTCAGGATCGGGCTGCGCCCAGACCCGCCACGACAAGAGGAGTCCACGACGGCAGGGCTCCTCACCCCACCTCCTCCTCCTCCTCTTCCTCCTCCTCCTCCTCCTCCTTCTCCTCCTCCTCCTCCTCCTCCTCCCTTTCCTCCTCCTCCTCCTCCTCCTCCAGACCCCCGACGTCGCGATTGCTGCACACCCTCGACCCACAGAGGTCCGAATCCTTTCCTCGGGACCGGCTTTCCCCCGAGGCCTGTGAAAAGCAGGACAAATAACATGGAAAACCTGTCGCCGTGACTTTTGCCACAACGCGAGGAGGTCTGGGTCCTCCTCCTCCTCCTCCTCCACCTCCTCCTTTTCCTCCTCCTCCTCCTCCTTCTCCTCCTTCCCATCTTAGGAGACAACTACTGGGAGATCTTCGTCGGAAAAATTAGAGAGGATTAAGCCCCGTTGGGGGGCTGTTATGCCGGAATGGGACTCGGATTAAGCCGGATTAAGCGGGTTTAAGCGGGATTAGGCCCGATCAAGCCGGATTTCGGACCAGGGCAAAAACAGAATTTGACCTCCCAGGATTTGCATCCCAACTCCTCCTCCTCCTCCCCCTCCTCCTCCTCCTCCTCCTCCTCATCATCGTCCTCTCCCTCCTCCTCCTCTTCACGGCCCGCGCGCGGCTCCCCCCGCAGCCGCAGCCGCGGGAGGGCCCGAGCCCGAGCCCCCGCCAGGACCGACCCCCCAAGACATCCGCACGCAGCTCCAGAAACTCTTGTAGGGTCGCTCAGCGTCGAATTGGCAACCCGCGCCGAATTCTGGGCGGGTGGTACAATCGCAGCCAGTCCAGAAGAAACCTTGCGTAAAAACAGACCCTGAGACCCCAGGACGTCCACTTATCTTTGGAGTGGGAACGTCACGCCTTCCACAGCACAACCACCGAAACCCAAGAAACCCAGGGCATCCTGGAGGCGAGCAGGGTGGTTCTTGGCATGGGCCTCCACTGCACTGGGGGGGACCGACATGGGGGAGGGCGAAGAGAAGTGGCCCCGAACGGGCTCTTCAGGGCCCCTTCTGGAGCCAGCTGGTGCCCACGAGGGGCCTTTCTCTTCATCCCCCCTTTTGGGCCACCCCCCTCTGCCACCAACCCGACGGATCGACGCGCGAATCGGATCGAGCTGCATCGGCATGACCTCGGAACCCAGCCCGGCCGGCTGCTCCGGGCTGCGCAGCCGCACCACTGGGGAGACTCTCCATGGGATCCCCAGGGGATCCTATGGGATCCCCCCCCCTGGGATCCTATCCCCCCATGGGGTTCCCCCCCATGAAGAGTCTCCCGAACCACGCCGTGTGGGCACCCGGCCGCGCCCCAGTCGTCGGGCATCCGGGGATCGGATCGGATCGGGCCGCCCGGGGTCGGCCTCGGATCGGATCGATGGGGCCCAGATCGGCCCGATCGATGGGATGGGATCGATGGGCCCGATCGATGAGATGGGATCGACGGGATGGGATCGATGGGATACAGGTAGGCCCGATCGGATCGGATCGGATGGGATCGATGGGATCGGATCGATGGGATCGTGTGTGCTGTTCTCTCTCTTTTGTCCGAAAGGTCCGTCTGGAGGCGTTGCATGAGGCGGTCCGTCGGGATCTGGCTCTCCTCGCTGGCGAAGGGCTGCGAGATGCAGATGCAGACCTCCAGGAGGACCTGGTAGAGGAAGGGACCCACCACGCAGATGAAGAAGCTGATGATCAGGTTCTCCACGTCGGAGACCAGGTCTGTCTCGCCAGAGTCTGCCAGGTAGATGCCAGAGGCACCATGGTACTGAAGCGTGGTGCCGATGCAGGATCCCAGCACGATGCCAAAGCTTATCGCGTTCACGATGTTGTTCACGTGAACGAGAGAGGCCAGCAGGTGCACATAGATGAAAGGAGCCTGCACCAAGACAGACTGCCGAACGGACCTGATGGCGTTCTGCGCCTTCTCCACGCAGACCATGACGACAGAAGAGCAAAACACTTCACAAACAGAACCTTTCGGAAATCCGAGCGGACGTCTTGGATCAGCGCTGGATCCCCCTCCCTGGCGCGCAGGGACGGAGCCGGAGGCGCCGCCAGGGGGGCCTAGCGCAGATCCATGATATCCGCGCGGATCTTCGAAACTTACTGTTTATGCAATGTTTCTTCTTCGAGATGAGACCGTAGGTCGGCGATTGCATGGGCGGAATCCACCCGTCCATCGCCATGCGGCCGATGTAGGAGGCGACCCAGACCCACATCATGCTGGCGGGGTCGGCCATTCTCCTCACGACCGATATTTCCCTGTCCTCGAGGACGTTGAACCTGTGTGCCGTACAGAGGGGGTCCGACTCCGTGTCAGACGCGGACTCTGGGTCGATCCGCAGGCTGTCGAACATCTCCTCCGACGCGTGCTCTTTCTCTTGCTCGCACGAAAGCGCTTCTATCTGCAGGGTCATGCCGAGAAGCCATCCGGAGACCGTCGCGTAGCGCAAGACCTTCTCCCTCTGCTCCACAGGGACGCCCAAGGCAAGAAGCTGTACCTGTAGGCACCTGATCGAATCGTAGAGCTCCAAGAAACCTTGTGTGCACTCGAACCAGCGGTTCACGGAGGTGGAGAGGAAGAAACCCAGGAGCAGACCCACGAATATTCTCAAGAACACAGCTATCTTCTGGAATTTGCTGGTCCTCAACTTCGCCGGATTCGGCAAAAGGATCAGCAACACAAGGGCGCAGACGATGCTGAGCAGCAGTAGCCTGCCCATCGTCTTCCACACGGTGGGACTGTTAAAGGCCGTCCTCACGCCCTGCAGCTGGAACAAGCTCGTCCACGAGGTGAGGACGTCCGCCTTGTACGTCATGCTGTCCACCACGGGCCCCCGCCACATCTTGCTGATACTGGAAGAAGAAAGAGCTTTCCATACACAGAAACAGTCGGAGCTTCGCGCGGATTTCTCGGATCTGCGATGGACGCGCTCCGCCAGGGGCGGCGCCGCAGGCGCCGCGAGGGGGGGCCAGGCTCAGATCCACGAGATCCGAGCGAATCTCGGGATCCACCGAAGGGAGGTGACCCTGAAGGGGGGCATGAGTCCGATCCCTTGGTGCACCGAACTGCCGCAAACGGATGCCCCCTGCATTCCCACCTCTCGGCAACTATCGGGAGTTGCTGTCGGCCAGGGAGCCTCTGTTTTGGGCGGTTCGGTGCCAAATCCCCCCCCCGGGGCACACACCCTCTTTGCGGGACCCCGAGAATTTCACATTGGCACAACGGCGGCTCTCCCGACCTGCCTTCTTCCCTGCAAAATACGCCTCCAGGCCCCTCCCAGGATCCATCCTGACCCGTTTTTCAAAAGGGATCCACCCAGGAGGAGTAAGCCCCATCGGGGGGCTGTTAAGCCAGAGTGGGCCTCGGATCAAGCGGGACTAAGCCAAATTAAGCGGGATTAAGCGGGAGTAAGCCGGATTAAGCAGGATTAAGCGGGATTAAGCCGGATTAAAAGGGATTTCGGACCAGGGCTAAATCAGAATTTGTAGAGGGACATGTCCGACTTAAGCGTGGCGACGAGAGGCGGCCAGGAGGCCCCAGAAAAGACGACACGCCAGCAGGGAGGGCCGCCGCTGTCTCGCCTGGCCCTCGTCCGCCTCCGAAAGCTTATATATATATATATATATGTACATATACATATACATATATATATATATATATATATATATATTATATATATATAATGTATATATGTCTGCGCCGCTGTCTTGGAGCCCTCCCAAAAAGGGGGCCCCAGCAGATGAGGTCGGAGGATGGCGCCGCATCGCCACTCCATTGCCAATGCACAGGCGATGCACTGGCGACGCATCGGCATGTACAGGCGCTGCATCGGTGACGCCGGGGTGGCGAAAATCTAGCCGAAACGGTACAGTCGGGGCGTTGACCTAAGGAACCCTAAATAAGGAACGAGGCCCCTTTTTTCCCTAAGTGAACCTTCGATTTCCTGTCGAAAACAAAAGGAAAGCCTGAGGCAAGCTGTGACACACCTGAGGAACGCGGAGCCCCTCCCCAACGAAAAGGGCTCCTTCTTCAGGGCCCCGACTGCACACCGCATCGGCCGTGCAGCATGACGCTGCGACAACAACTACTCGGACTCGCTCGTCGTCTGGCCCTCGAGGAGGAGGAGGAGGAGGAGGAGGAGGAGGAGGAGGAGGAGGAGGAGGAGGAGGAGGAGGAGGAGGAGGAGGAGGAGGAGGAGGAGGAGGACACCCCCTCGGAAGGCCCCCGACGGAGCGCGGCCCGCGGAGGCCGCCCCCGGACTCGGAAAGCTCCCAGAGGCTGCCAGAGAAGCGTCCGTCGTCCGCAGGAGCCCCATCTGGTGAACGTTCTCTGATTCGGCGTTTCGACACTGGGCGGAGCTAGGGCTCCCAACTTCGCGCTTCGCGCTCCGCGAAGCGCGAAGTGCGAATAACTTCGCGCTCTCGCGCCGCCCTCCCAAAGGGAGAATAGGAGGACGAGGAGCAGGGGGAGAAGGAACGAGGACCGCGAAGCGCGAATAACTTCGCGCCCTCGGGGGAGCCCTTGCGGAGGGGGGGGCGGAGGGGGGGGGGGCGGTCTGGCTCCGGACCACTGCTCTATGCGACTGTTTGCAACAGTGCGTCCTGCGGAAGAGACTCCACCTGCCTGAAACAGGCGCCAGAAACACGGGGAGAGGGGGAGGGGGGGTGCGCGAGGGCCCGCGCCGAGCGGCAAAACAATGAACAAGAAAACGATCACCGTGGAGACCCAGATTTTTCTTCTTCGAGATGCGCGCCCAGAATGCCCCCCGCGGGTCGCTCTTGGACACGCTCCGCTCGCTCGCCGCAGAGCCCGCCGCGGCCCTGGGGTCGGTCGCCGAGTCGGCGCAGCACCTTTTTGCACGCAGGGGGTGCGGGCAATAGTTGTATCCATAAGTTTTCTTGGAAGGGGCACCACGGGGCACCACAAGGTCGAGGCGCACTGGGTATGACAGAATATAGTCGAGCCTCTCTAGCGGCCAGACTCTTGTCCATATCCAGTGCGCCTCGGGGTTCAGGGGAAGGGAGCCCGAAACTCCAGGCTGCAGTGGATGTGGACAGAAGTCTTGCCCGCAGGAGGCGCCTCCAACCGAGCGTGACTGGAACCCAGCGGGCCGCAGAAACAGCAGGACCGTCATTTCATAAAAAACTGAAGCAAAAAACTCTTGAACATGGAAACGGCAAACAAAAACTACCAAAAACAACAAATCGAAACTGCTCCAGGATTTGGAGCCGAAAGACATCCGGCAAAACAGCGGCGTCGGAACCGGCAGAAGGACTGCCCTGTCGCTCCCAGGGTCCAGGGCCCACTAAGGACTGGAGGAGCAAACGCCTGGGCCCTCCGATGAGGACGCGCGGAGAGGACACGACCTTCTGCGAGCCACGCTGCCCGAAGCGCCGGGAGAGACACGGGGCGCGGATCGCAGGAAGCGGGGGAGCCCCTGATCTGACAGGGCCGACCTACTACAGTCAATGTCCTCCTACAGGCAGGCTTGGGGCGAAACATTTGAAATACCGAAACATATAAACTCGTTCCCAGACAGTTGTTTGACTTTTTAAAATTATCTTTGAATACGCCTCATGTGCAGGGACAAGCCCGACTTAATACTACAGCTGGACCGCCGTCAGAAGGAGCCCTACATAGAAGGAATGGGGCCCCTGTTTGTGCTTAAGTGAAGCTTCGATGTCCCACAGAGAGCCTGAGGATCATCGAAGACGACATGTAAAACAAGTAAGGAGCGCCGAACCCTTCCCCAACGAAAGTCACGGCCTTCTTCAGCGGCCCGCCCGACTGTAACCTCAAGAAACCATTAAGGACCCCCCCCGGGGTAATCATTAGCACAGCACCGTAATTAAATAATTCTGGAGGGCGGTTTTCGCTGAACTATATGATTAGCACCGCGCAAATGGAACGAAATAATTCCCGCGCCCCGGCTCGGGTGGTATCCCAATTTGAATTGGAATGAGAACGATAATAAGGGTGGAATGCGAGTAGTAAGAATAATATAAATAATACGAAACAGACTAATAATAATATTAAGGATAAGGGTAAGAGCAATAATAATAATGATGCGAATAAGGAGAAGGACGACAATAAGAAGAAGAAACCGACAACAGACGGGCTCCGCTGCTGCTTTTCTCCCTCTCCCCTTTATCTCGTTATCTTCATCATCCTTGTCCTATACGGTTCTTTGTATCAACCCTATTGAAACATTGCTTTTTCTCGGCCGTCGTGTGGGGTGGTCCATCAGAGGATATCGTCCCCGCCCCGCACGGAGCGTTATCTTAGCACCGCGCCCGTACAACATACTTACGACAGCTTGTCTAACAAGACAAGATGTACAACAAGCTCACGAAAAAATAAGACCAATAACAATAACACTAAGACCTATCATGACACTAATAGTACGAATGCTAGGCATAAAAACCGTGATACGAATAATACTAAAAAGGATGCTAATAATCAAACTGCTAATGATAATGATATGACCAATGCTAGACATAGTATTGAGAATTCGAATTATAATAATAATAATCATAATATAGAAACCAATGAGAATAATAAACCGAAAAGAGGTAAAGGTGCGAGGGTGCCAGGGTAACGCTTCTGGGGTGTCGGGTGCGTTACAATTTCGCAAGAGAGGTGGGGGGGTTCTTAATTGCTTCTTGAGGTTAATCAAACCCAATTGCCGCGCGCAAGTGCACCTCACTGCCGTGCCTAGCCAGAGGATCGCCGGGGCCCTGGGCTCGCTGCACTTTCGAGGGGGAACGTTCGCGCGGGACGACACTACGGTAAGCTCGTCAGGCGTCGGCACGCGCAAAAAAAAAATTGACACCGTCTCGACTGTTTAATTGACATCGTCAAGGTTGAATTCCACCGGGTCCAATTGCATTACCGTGTCCCTCAATGCTTCCGCGTCGCAGAATTCGGCCTTGAACGACTTCGCCGGCGCGCCAACGCCGCGTGAACCTACCGTGTTGAGCTTCGAGGTTTCAGGCGTTCGGGCGTTTTCGTTGGATCTCGGCGGCGTGCCAGACTCGGAATGCCTTCAAACGGCTGCGCCTCGCCGAAAACCTCGGGGAGGTTACTGGATCGTCCCGAACGGCCGCCAGAGGCTTGACGTATGACCCAAAAACCACCAGGCTCCGGCTCAGGCTGGGAAACATCGACCTGCAACCGGCGATACATCGACGATAGATCGGCGACAGGTCTCCGACGAATCCGCACGCTCCTGGGCGGGGTGGGCTCTCGCGCCGCATCTCGGCGATGAATAAACGATCGGGGGTCGATGCACCTACCCCTGAGCCTGCCTCTATCCCCCCTTAGCGTTGCCCCTGAACTGCCACTCCCTGGGCCTCTGCCTGGGTTGGGCGACGGGCCTGGGGGAAGTGAGAAGGGGTGGGCCTTTTCAGAAGGCTCGGAAGCCCCTCAGCCTTCTGAACAGTTGTTTGTAAGCCTTCCCCGAAGACGCAGAAAACTTCTCCGAAGGCTGGAGGGCTTCTGAGAAGTCCCGCCGCCTTCTGAGAGAGTCCTTGATACCTGAAGGCATGCCAGCAAATGGGACTCCTGAAACCTCGGCGTTGCATTTGAGATTTAGAACAGCAAAAACCGACTGGAAGCGTCATGCCGCAGCCTGGTGGGCGAAGCCGAACTTACTTGAGACATCGGCATCGCCCGTTTCAAAGGTCCCTCTCCCTGGGCTCCCTCTTGGAACCACATGAGTCTTCCCCGTCTCACTTGCAAAATCCTCGCCCCTCGCTCGCAGCCGACAGAATCGCGAAAAGGATCCGGCCGTGGCAACGAGGGCTCTCTGGCCCTGGACATGCACCCTCCGCACACTTCCGCGCGGCAGGTGCCGCGGCGGCCACCGTCGAGACCGCAGCGGCGGCCGCGGCGGCCGCATCGCAGCGGCATCTTCCGCGCGAAAGGTGCCGGTCGATAGGTGGTCACATCCGAACCCCACCCCCGCCCCCCATCGATTCTCCTGCATCAATGGGAGGCGGGGGTGGGGTTCGGATCTCGCCACGTGCCCAACGAATTCCGAACCCTACCCCCTCGCGGAAGGTGTGGGAGGTGCAGGTCAAAGGAGGACGAGCAGTGGCATTGGTCCCTTTTTCCCCCCTCCTCCTGCGGCAGCTCATGGGAGCCTCCCATACCATCTTGTTGGCTCTTTCGAATCGACGCGCATCGGCGAAACTTAACGCTCAATCGACGCTAATCGACGCTGGTCAGCGCTGAATCGGCGCTGATCGACGCTAATCGATGCTAAATCGACTACCAGACACTAATCAACGCGAGTGACGGAGTTACGATGGTCAGAGTGAGGAGACCGAACAGTCGTTCATTGTCCCTGGGTGCGTGGCAGAAGTGGGATTCCACGATGCGGTTTCTTATTGTTGCTTGTTGTTGTTGGTCTTGAGGTTGTTGTCGTTGTTGTTGTTGTTGTTGAAGGTTTTGGTTGTTGCTGTGGTCGTTTTCGTTGTTAGTTTTGTTGGTTTGGTTTTGTTGTTATTGATGTTGTTGTTGTCGGTGTCGTTGTTGAACTCTCATTGAGGAACATTGTTGTTGATCCCCCTCCGATGACCATTGTATTCTTCGATTGAAGTTCTTCCCCCGGGGCTCGCACCCTGTTTGTTACCAGGGAAAGTCACGGGGTGCACACTGCGCTGTTGGCCCCGGATTACAACAACAACAACAACAACAACAACAACAACAACAACAACAACGGCACCCGCCTGATACTTCCTCACAATGTATTCCCAAATCGCGCTCTCGCGCGGGACTTCCTCACAAAGTGTATACGAATCGCGCTCTCGCGTGGGACTTTCTCGCCAGTGTACTCTCACGAATCACGCTCTCAATTTGGCTGTTCGCAAGATTTTCTTGGGAATCGCGCTATCTCTCGAGATTTCCTCGCGATCCATTTCGGACCCACGCTTCAGCAACCCGCCTGCTCGGCCTGGTCGCCTGGGCCCGTCTTCCCGACCTGCCCGCTATGGGTCTGCCCACCCGGTCTGCCCGTCTGGTTCTACCACTTATTTTCTGCTCCTTGCCCCCCTCCTGCTAACTTCTCTCGTGTTCCATTATTCGCCCTCCCCCTCCCACCTGCCTTATCTTCCCTTGTTTCAGGGGCTGCACTAAATGCACGTGGCAGGTAAGAAAGATACACCCCAAAAGGGTACGATTGAAGACGACGAAGGCGGCCACCGAGGGTTTAAGATATGCGTATGGATTGGCACGTGAGCAGATTGGAGCGACCAATCTTAAAATGATTGCTGCTGTTGTTGCTGTTGTTGTCGTCCCCCCCGCGACCCGGCCCCCGACCCACCCCCAACCCACCCCGCGACCCGCCCGCGACCCACCCGCGACCCACCCCACCCGCGACCCACCCGCGGCCCACCCGCGACCCAACCCACGACCCGCCCGCGACCCACCCGCGACCCACCCGCGACCCACCCGCGACCAACCCGCGACCCGGCCCGCGACCCACCCACATTGCTTTAACGAAAAAATCGGTGCCTGCGGCGGTGCGCTTTCGCAGACCGCAGACGTCCGCGACTGCGGGGAGCTATACAAAACTCCCACGGTTTGCTACCGAGTCCCTCCCATGATCACACGGCCTCCTGGGCCCAGGGTGGCCCTGACCTTGGGGAAAAAAACGATGCAGCGGAGGCCAGTCCACAAGAAACCTTCCACAAGAAACCCAAGCCTGAGACCTAAGGACGTCCATTGATTTTTGGTGTGGGATCGTCACGCTTTCCATAGAGGAAACGATCGAAACCCAAGAAACCCAGTGCACCCTGGAGGCAAGCAGGGTGTTTCTTGGCATGGGTCTCCACGGTACATATCGCCACTCCCCGGATCTGACCAGGATCTCGAAGCGCATCGAGTGGTGGCGAAGATGGCCTCCCAACAGGCCCAACAGGGCGAACAAAGGCCAGGGTAGCGACATCGCCACCTTCTCCCTCCTTTCCCAGGCCAAAGGCGTGGCTCTGGCCAGGGGGCCCGCGGCGGTGCACAGGTAGAGGCCCTCTAGATGGGGTCCGAGTAGATGGGGTCAGAGGATCGCGCCACATCGCCAAAGCATCGGCGATGCATCGGCGATGCCACGGCGTCGGCAATGCATCGGCGATGTCGGCATGGAGGAAGTCGGGCTCCACATCGCGCCGCATTACCTGCGTCGCGATCTCCCGACCCCACCTCCTCCGACCCCGTCTCGGAGGCCTGGAACAAGCGCGCCCCACGCGGCACCTGAGAACCCGGGGGCTCCGCAGCAGGACCGCGGACTGAGCCCGGCGCGCCGCGGCGCTCGCGCCGCCAGCCGACGGCCCAGCCGCGTCCGCGGCCGGGTTGACGGGGGCAGAGCCGGCCCGGAGGGGGACGCTCGCCTCCGCGGCCTGCGGCGCCTCTGTAGGGAGAGGGAGGCGCACCAGCGCACCAGAGGCCGTGATTTGCTTGTTCACGAAGGCCCAGCCCGAACGAGCGCGCAATCATCAAAAGGTGGAGATCGGAAGCTGCGGCCGCGTCCTTTTCACGGCGTCGGGGCTCTGGGACCAGGGCGGAGCTCACCAGGCCCCTCTCTGATTAGAGAAAAGGAAACGCCCCACCACTACCACCACCACCTGGCGGATGGAGGCAGAGGGTGGTCAAGGGTGGTTGCGGTGTATTTCGTTTCGGGCTCTCTCGCGGGACATCGAGCGCACCTGCATCCCGCACACCAGCTTATTCTGGATTCTTCCAGGTGGTGGCGGTGGTGCGCTTCCTGCTCCCGACCCTGGAAGAAGACGGGGCTGCAGAAGCTTGGGTTCGGAAGGGGATCGCTGTTTCTTGGGTCCTTCCGTGGTTGTACCTCTAGCGATCTCCCTGCACCAAAGGCGGTTGTCTCTGCGTCCGGCGACACCCCCGTCAGGAGCACACTGACACGAGTTGGCTTCCGCGGCTCTGGCGCATGGCCACCAGATCCACGGATCGGGGAAGGCGTCCCGAAATATTGCGCCCATGCCGCCCGGTTTGGTGACGGAGCGGGCCGAGTACGCATGGAAACGGGACCCGTCGCAAATCCACGATGCCGCAGAGTAGGGTCCCGACCACCAGACGCCACCCACAAGAAACCCAACCCTGAGGCCCCAGGGCGTCCCTTGACGTTTGGTGTGGGAACGTCGCGCCTTCCACAGCAGCGCCATCGAGACCCAAGAAACCCCGGGCCCCCTGAAGGCACGCAGGGTGCTTCTTGGCATGGGCCCCCTCTGCATCGTGGCCTGCTCCGGCGGGCCCGGCTCCTCGAGGAGGCGAGCCCCGTGGCACCGCGTCGCCTGCTGCTCGTCTTCGTCGTCGTCGTCGTCGTCGTCGTCGTCGTCGTCGTCCTCGTCGTCGTCGTCCTTGTCTTCCTCGTCGTCCTCGTCGTCGTCGTCGTCGGCGTTCCTGGAAGGCGAGGCTGCACGAGCGTCGACTCCCCCGGAGGCCCGCCAGGGGGCGGGGCCTCACTGCAAGGGGGGAGGGGGGGCAACGCAGGGGCACGGCGCAGAGCCAACGAAATCCCGGCGGCCCTGCGGAGGTTTCTGACGATCTGTTCGACCAGGGCGAGATTCGGCGGCGAGCGAGCGGGGGGAGCGAGAAGGAGGAGGCCTTCTCGGGAGGCGGCGGGATTTCTCAGGAGCCCTCGCGCCGTCTGCGGAGCTCTTTCTGGCTGAGGGTGCGTGCCAAAAGTTCAGAGCTGTCTAGCGCCACCCCATTTCTACAGCCTGCGTGGAACATTGTGGACTCTTGCGGAACTTGGGACGTGCCCCTGCGGTGATATCTTGCCTCTCTGATGTGTCCGATTCTTCGGCTATCCAGACCTCTTGCGTTTTGCTTCTCGGGGAGAGGGGGCTCGACGTGTGCGCCGTGCAGTGGGTGAGCCGCGGAGTCCGGTGCACAAGCGGCGTCACAACGGAAACTGGAGCGCCCATGCTCCAAACTCCTGAGCCGAGAAAATCGACGTGGTGTAAACGTTCGAGCCCCTCCGACGTTAGAATCCGGGGCTCCCAAGCCCTCATTTTAAGGGCAGTCTCTCATCGCGGGATCGGATTTTGATGGCCCTGGGGGTCCGGGGGCCGAAGCTGAATGAGAAAAAAACCGAAGCGAGGAAGAATCGATCCCTTGGCCCAGGGCTCTGGGCATCCCTCGCTCGAAAGCCGGCCTGGCCCCTTTCAGACTGCGCTGTGGCCCTGGACAACAAAGGGGCGACGAAATCTCTCCCAGAGGCCCAGGAAGGGGGAAAGAAACCGAAAACTCCAAACCTCGAGCCTCGATTCAAAAGAGCAAGTCGCCAGAAGTGCAGGCTGTCTCCACCCGCGCCCTGCCAGGGCCACCCTTGGCCCAGGCATGGTGCACGCGCCCTCCGAGGGCCGAGGCTACGAGGGACCAAACACCACACCCCGGCCCGCCCTGCCCAGGCGCTTCCGACAAGACGAGAACAATGCCATGGTAATCACCTCTTCCTTAGGACACGTTCCAATACTTCCAGCGCGCCCAGAGGCCCTCGCCTAGGGAACCCACGCCATACCCCGTCTGGTGAGACCTTCGTACATATCGCTCTTATCATGACGCCTCGCTCATCTGCGGCGCGCTCCCAGGGATCCGACGTGGACGTGACGTTACCGGCTCCCTCCACCACCACGCGGTCTCACCATCGCTAGGAGATTAACAATGGGAACTACGCGTAACATACCCGATTCAAACTTTTTATCGCCTAGCCCCATGGAGCACTGCCCAGACACCTCAGTATACATAGAGATTCGCAGAGACACGTTGTCTGGGCCCTGTCCCAAAAAGTTTCGTAGAAACGCAACAAAACAACGTATGCTGTATGATTGTATGGCCGGGCATATATACACTGTGCGTTGGGCAACCATTCGCCACGAGGTGGTGGACAAGAAGTGTAGATGACATGAACCAGGCACCGCGTAAATCGGGAAACCAACAGGCACTGAGACCGCTATTCCCTGGACACCTCCCTGGGTGCTTTCTGGCCAGGATTTCGCAGCGACTGGCGGTGGCGACGAGGGAAGAATAACGGTATCGGTACACCCTCATTATCCTCCTCCTCCTCCTTCTCCTGCTCCTCCAACCCCTCCTCCTTCTCATCCTCCTCCTCCTCCTCCTGCTCCTACTCATGCTCCTCCTCCTCCTCCTCCTCCTCCTCCTCCTCATCCTTCTCTTCCTTCCATTCTCCTGTTCTGGGAGAAACAGCCTCCTTCTGCGCGCCCGCCTCCCGCGCCGCTTCCCCGTCGACGGGCTGCGCCGCGCCATAGCCGCGCGCGGGCGCCGCGGGGAGGAGGGGCTCGTGCCCCGCGTCGCCGCCCAAGGTCATGCAGCGGGCACGCCACTGCGCATCTAGAGCGCGGCGGCCGCGGGTGTCCCTGCACTACATTGACGTGGCCAGCGGCGCCCGCCTGAGCCAGCGAGGCCTGCGCCAGAGGGCGGATTCTCACGAGCGGGCGGGCCGGTCCAGGCCCACGCCCTCGCAGCGGGAACTCTGGGGCGCGGCGTCGTGGCCGCGCGGCTCGCGGTGAAGAACGCTTCGCGCGAGGCCCACGCGAATAAAGACGGCCCGCATCCGTTCGGGCGTGGGTTCGACTGGCTCAGCACCAATCTAGCGAACTCTGCAAGTTGTAGGAGCCCGACCACAAGAAACCTTCTACAAGAAGCCCATCCTCGAGACCCCAGGACGTCCACTACTTTCTGGTGTGGGAACGCCACGCTTTCCTTAGCAAAACCATCGAAACCCAAGGAAACCGAGGGCCCCCTGGAAGGGTGTTTCTTGGCATGGGGCTCCACTGTACGTACGGCCACCTCGTGGGACGCAAATGACCCCCAAGTTTGGGTCACCCAAGATCGGGCTTTGCTGGAAGATAATGAAGCAGCAGAGATATAAACTTTCGGAGGTCCGCGCGGACTTCTTGGATCGGCTCTGGGCCCCCCCTGCCTGGCGCGGGGAACGCGCCACGGACGGCGCGGACGCGCCGCCAGCGCCGATCCAAGAAATCCGCGCGGAGCTCCGACAATGTATGTTTATGCAGCCTGCCGTTCGTCGATTTGCAAGATTTTGCCGGATTCGCATCCCCACCCAGTACAGCGTTTCGTGGCCCCATTAGGGAGCTCCACTGAAGGCAATACCCACAACTGCGGTACCCACAACTGCGGTACTGGTTGGGTCCTTCGAACGGCTCATTTTATGCAGTTCTGAGCATCGTTTACCCAATCCCCATCCCCACTCGCGGGGCCTGGGCCCCACTGGCCGGTTTACCCCCCTAGATGGGGAGATGGGCAGTTTCGGTCAGATTTCGAAGGGTACATCCCGAACTGGGGGGAGGAGATGGTGGGGATGGGGATGAGGGTTGTTCTTCGTGTGTTGTTCTTCGTGTTGTTCTTCGATGGGGATCGGTGAAACGATACTGGAGTGTGTTCTTCGTCGGTCTGCCGGCGCCTGCAGGATCTGGCCGCTCTGGCAGAGCCCCGTCTGCGCTGCACCCCCCCCCCCCGCGCATGCGATCCGTGGAGCCGCGGCCCGGGGGCCCGGCCCGCGAGGCCGTGGGCGGAGAGCGACGACGACGCACACCTCTGGAGCCTGTGGCAGGAGAGTTTAGAATTCGAGTGGGAGGTCGACTGCAGAATCGAGTTGCCCCCGAATGGACTTCCCCCGTCGAATCTACGACGAACACGCGTAGAACTTTCGTGAATTCACGTGGGATTTCAAACATCACCGTATATTCGACGAGAAAACTGGTTTGGGGGTGAATCAATTCTGCAGTCGAACCTCTACTCGAAGAATCGAACCAACAATCGAATCAGATCGGCGATCGAACTTAATCGGATCGGCGGAAATCGGCGGGCTGGTGGGCATCTATTAAGGAATCGTGGACCAAATCGAAATCCCAAATCGAATCGAATCGGAATCGGAAGCCATCGAAATCGAATCGAATCAAATCAGAGGAGTCGAAACGAGCCCTGCTGTAGAGCTCTTCGCGCCGTTGTCAAGAAGAACTGCTGGAGCTCCAGAGTCGAGCATGTCGTGCCCCCTAGGACGAAGCCAGGACGAGGATAAAACTGGGTGGGGATACATAGAGAATCTCTGAGATCCGGCGGTTCTGGAGGATGTCTCGGGCGCCGCGGCCTTCTCAGAGCGTTCCAGAGCGCTCTGAGAACGATCAGGAACGCTCTGGAACAAATCTATCCTCGTCCTGGCCCCGTCCGACCCTCGGATGATGGGAATTGTCGGTGGCAGCTCCCGGGATCCTCCTGTACTGTCTTGCTGGCTCTTGCCAGCAGGGGCCCCCCGACGGCCCAAGAGGATCCCGAAGCGGCCCAAGACGCCTCCAGGACGGCCCAGGAGGTCCCCGCGATTGCCATCGCAGAGCCCTCAACGGGGGAACACGCGAACGGACTCTTCGACCTCCTCGCCGCGAAAGGACCTCCGAGGCCGCCGGTAGGCGCCCCTGTGAGGCCCCTGCGAGGCCCCAGAGTGGTGCCCGGGCGGCCCCGCAGCGAGTCTCCAAAGCTGGGTCACAGTGGCGCCCCCTCTCCCCGACTCTGCGTGAATCGCGAGGCACGCGACGATTCAAAGGGGTCGGCGGATGCGGCGCAAGCCTGCAAAAGGGATCGGCGATGCATCGCCGATAGATCGGCGACGGGCCCCCGATCGTGGATGCGCGTGCTGCTGTGCAGGTTGGGGCTATCTCGGGCCGCTATCGGCGACCAATAGGCGATTGGGTGGAGATGCGGCCCCCCCTGTGCTTATTCCCCGCTATCGCTGCCCCTGAAAGATGGCTCAGACTGAACGCATGAAAACCGCCCCCCGCCCCCCGCATGAGGAACTTTGGACCAACCAGACCCCGCGCGCGCCCCCCCCCCCCCCTTGCTGCAGCTGGCAGTGGGCGCCGGGGTCGGTTTTTCACTGTTCACAGGCGGCCTCTCGCTGCACCGACTTTGCAGACGTGCTGCAGCGGATTTTTGCGTGGATTTCTGCCAGTGCCGAACGTCGAAAAGGCGAGTGAAAAACGAAGTGAATTTCGCTTGGATTATTTTCGTCTTCATTCCTGGCCAACAAAAACCTCGCACGAAATGCACCTCGAAATCCAGAACGACATTCTCCAGGACACTCCGGGCCCATCCAGTCCTTTTACGAGCGAAATCTTGGGCCCCGAAATATACGGGGTAACTCGGGTCCGGGGTAACGCGGGTTTGGATTCCCGAAAAACGAACCCGAGTTAGCCCTGACCCGAGTTACCCCTGATGATTTGGGGCTCTGGACGCCCGAATTATCCGGGGTAACTCGGGCCCGGGGCAACTCGGGTTCGGAATCCCGAAAAGCGAACCCGAGTTGGGCCCTGACCCGAGCTACCCCTGATGATTCGGGGCTCTGAAGATCCTCTCTGCGATGTTGGCGCCAGGAGGCCTCCGGCCTGCCTCCCGAGAAGCTCACCGGGCCCTCTCCGAGGCCACCGAGGGCTCCTTTGTGGGCCCGCGGCCCCCGAAAAGCCCCGCCGCCGTGTGAGGACCTCGGCGCGCCGCCGACGGTCGTAGGAGGAGGAGGAGGAGGAGGAGGAGGAGGAGGAGGAGGAGGAGGAGGAGGAGGAGGAGGGGGGCAGCGCTGGTCGGCGGTGGACAGACCTCCATGTCGTAAACCACCCTCCAGCGAAAACGGCCCACAGTCGGGGCGTTGACCTAAGGAACCCTAAATAAGGAACGAGGCCCCTATTTTCCATAAGTTGAGCTTCGACGTCCCATGGAAAACACGCGGAGCCCCTCCCCAACGAAGAGGGTTCCTTCTTCAGGGCCCCGACTGTAAACCACCCTCTAGCGAAAACGGCCCAGGACCGAACCCGCCGGACCTGGACCCGCAGGAAGGCCGGTCGCGACGCCCTCTCGCGAACCGAGGGCGGCCAATTCGCCGGTCGACGCGTCAGGGCAGGAGGTCCATCCACCTCCGAGTTGGGGGGGATCTGGCCCGGACGGGGCAGCATCGACCGGGAGCCAGCGGTGCGTCGCCAATAGATCGGCGACGTGCCCCCGCCGGCGAGCCGCGCGTGCCCGGGCGGGGCGGGCTGCCGGGCCCATGTCGGCAACGGGTGGGCGGTTCGAGGTCGAGGCGTCCGCGCCCGAGGAGGGGGCCCAGGCAGACACGCGCAAGTCGGCGCGAGCTCCAGGATTCTCAAGATGGCTCCATCTCTCCAGGACTTCCAGCTTCCCCTGCTGCCTCCCACATCTCCCAGATTTCCTCGTGGGCATCACCCTTCATGTTCGCGCGTCGGTTTGTTTGTTCATCACCTAAGCCTGTCCCCTCAATGTCGCCCCCTTTGGCTTTCGGCTAATAACTCGGCTCCCTGGCGGCGGCTCCGAACGATCAGGGCATCCCCAGAACGCTCCTGCCGAGGCGCCGCCGTTAAAAGGTACCCCGAGGCTGGAAGCCGACGAATACAGACAAAAAGCATGCGAACACCTGGAGCCCATCCCCCGCGCATATCCCCCTCAAACTCGGGGGCGGCCAAGGAGGGGTGTCCGAGAGGGGGGCTCACCAATCATGGCCCGGGGGGGGGAAGGACCAAGGGACGTACCGAAAGAGAAGAGGGGGCAACGAATTCCAGGGGGATAGCATGGCCCTGGCCATGGTGTCCACCCCCCCCAATCATCGCCCCTCGTTGTTTGTCAGCACTGTTTTGGAAGGAGAAGAAGCAGGAAAGCAGAGAATAACGAAAGCTCGAAACACCATGCACCCAGACCGTGCGCCTGGCCAACTCCGCAGGCTGTCCTGCGAACTCAGCCAAAAACTACACCGAACGCTGCTGACCGCAAAGACTCTTGGCCGCCCTCGACTCACGCCGCCCCTGACTACAGGCCGCCCCTGGGCCCCTGCCCGCGATCAAGGGGAGAGGGGCCAGCCCAGACGCGGAGCGTGTGATCTGTATGATGGTACTCTCGGCTGCTCTTCCTCTCGAGGAGGGGGAGGAATTGAGGAGGAGGAGGAGGATGACGAGGAGGACGAGGAGGAGGCGATGTATCAGCGAAGCTTCGGCGAGGCATCGGCGACGCGTCGACGACGACAGGCGGCCCCGTGCGGCCTTGCTGCGGATCTTCCCGAGCCGCCGCCTGCACCGCCAGCCCCGGACGCAGCGCTGCACCTGCCGCGCGGCGGGGGGCGGGGTCGCACGCTGCAGCTTCGCTCCGGGCGGCCGCCGCCCCGGAAGCCGCCACACGGAGGGGACGGAGAGCCAACCGCGCAGTGAGGAAGGATCTCAGAGCTCCAGGCAGGACGTACATGTGCCCATGTCCACCGCGGCGGGCACTTTCCAATCAGGACTAGATCGGGCATGTCCTCCGACACGCGGATCTGGGAAGAAAACTGAAACATCGAAACAAACTCAGAAAGTCAGACATCGTCGACAATTCGTCCCCAGGCTATTGTTCGACTAC